AACTGTCTGCCTTGCTTTCTGGCAGCTTTTTTTCTGTTAATAAAAATAAATTTAATCTGTTCGGTTAACGAATCTCCATAAAATGACGTGTAAAATTACAATTTTTTAAAATTTCAAAAACTTTTTAACGGTTTAGCGAATCGATTTGCAATTTTTACAGGATTTTTAGAATTGGATGAGGAACGTTCGTCCAAATTTTTATTTGTCTCGAAGCAATTTGACATACCTCTGAAACATCCTTATTTGAATTTTTAATTAAAACAGTAATTTGTTGTAGTGTTTTCTTCCGTATGTATTTATGTTTTTTATCAGTGTCCTACTGCAACTAAAGAAAAAAATTCTGACCCTCGAGTTTTGTTAGGGAGACAACTGCTCACTGACTTGAAGAACCATAATTAAGTATGAAAAATAACGTCATCAGACCATCGAGGGTAGACGAATATATCAAGGACAATAGCAAAGGTAGAGGGGTATAAACGTGAGACACAAATGCATTTGGTGGGGGGGGGGAGGTGCAGTGGTAAGAGGTGATTTGTATAAAGAAGCTGCTGCAACGAGACGGTAGCAGCGACGTATCCAAGACGTTTACTTGCAAGTTGTAGGCGAAAGGTTCTGCGTCTAATTACCTCTCAAGAGATTCATTAATCACAAACTCGCGTAATTACATTTGCTAAGTTTATACATATTATAACGCTATTCGCCCCGAGGTGGAGAATTATCCTGCCGCGTCCTACTGTGTCACTCAACCAAATTAATGAATGTTAGATACGATCAAGAATTTTCAAAAATCAAAATTCGTCTCTGAATTCATTTATATGCATTGCATAATTTAGCGCCATCGATTCCTTCTCAGTGATGATTGCAAATGTAAGTACAAAACGGGGTAGACGGAATACATTACTATATGTATACTCTGTTAATCTTTCAGATCAAACTTAAACAAACAGTGCAGTTCTTATCGGCCACAGAATGCCTGGAAATATAGGGTTGTTCGGAAAGTCATTTCGTTTTTTTTTGT